TTCATTTTACCCTTCATAGCTTTTGATAATTTATCAATACTACCAAAACCAGCGGGATTAGATGGATCATAATAAATCCTGTTAATTTCTTCTAGTACGGGGTCCATTTTTCCCACTCAAGCATTTTACGTATTTTAGTTGTAGACTTTTTATATCTATTGCTCGGTGTAGAAAACTCTATTTTAGTTATAGATTTTGTATCTCCTCTACTCGGTGTAAAAAACTCTTGAACTTCAATCTCAGAGGGTTTGTTCAGATCTTTTGCTTGAAGTTGGTTAATAAACTCACATCTCTTTGGATTTCCAATATAAGTAAGTGGTACTTTAATATCTTTTAATGCTTCAGCAAATCTATCCCGCCCCACTGGATCACTTCTTTTTAAGGGTCTTAGTGAATCATTTATTAAATCAACAATATTACTTCCAGGAATTTTTTCATTATCAATTATGACTGTACCTTCATTATCCCAATGTATTTTACTTTTACTTGTTTCAACTAAGTTTAATAATAACTGTCCTTTTTTATTATAAGTGTTTGGTATTAAACTGAGTATTTGAGCTGGTGTGTAAAGTGGATTTTCATCATTTTCTTTACTTTTAATGGATCGATTCTCCTCCAACAAAGATTTAGCATCAACTGAAGTTTTTAGATCTCTATCTTTATTTTTAAAACCAATTTTAGGCTTATTTTAATCTTCATTAGGTGTATCAGAATAAATTGGTAATCTGAGTGGTTGACGATCCTCTTCGATAAAATGAAGGTATCTTTGCAGTGTTTGTAAATATAACATCCATTTCTTTCGGTCTTCCGTCTTACTATTCATAATATTTTGCATTTCAATATCTAATCGAGATAAATTACTATTAACCTTATTTTCTTGTTTTAATTTTTCAATCAATCCAGGTTCGATAAGTATCATTTTCCTTAGCATTTTCATAGTATAACGGCTAGTCCACTCACTAATCCACTCAATATTGCACCTAATATTATTGGTAAGAAAGCCCCTTTTTTTTGTATAATTATATTTTTTCTTAGTTTATGTTTACACTTACGCACTAGTTTACGGAGTATATTTTTGTGTTTATTCAATTTTTGTTTATCTATCTTTAAGAGGTATTTTTCCTTGTAAAACGTTATGTATATACTCACAAATACAGTTAATTTCTTCTTCATCACACTTTTTAAGTAATGCTCTTTGATATTTTGGTTTAAGCGTATGCAAAGCGTTTAGCAAATGTTTATGCGTTGTGAGTCGACGATGCATCATTTAGCAATGATTTGAATTGTTTGATTCTTGGTGTATTTAAACTTTTTTGTGGGGACGTAGACTGTACAGAAACCATTAAATGGGAAGACATGTGTCTTGATACGACAAAAAACATTGGTATTCTGTTTTAAATCTACCATTAAATATCCATGTGCCTCTAGAGTTGCATCCCTGTAGGCATCTTCAATGAATTTTGGGTTATCTGGTGATACTTGTCGTGCTAAATATCTTAATTGAGTTTTATCTCGAGAGTTTTTAAAATATATTGTATAACTTGAGTTTAAAGATATGTCTCTTTGCCCTTTACCCTGATGAAATAAATTTTGTGTTAAACAAAATACACTGAGATTCCTGTGATGACTACCTTTTGTAAATATATCCACAATTCTTCCATCGGACTCTCTCATTAGATCATCAATAATAACGAGATGTGGATTTTCACCATCAAACATATTAAGATTTGAAATTCCTTGATGATATTTAACATTTGGTAAATTATATAAAGGTTGCATTTCATCAAAGCACCATGTGATCTGATTAAAATCACAATTACATATTTCTGTAACTGATTTTATGAAATTTGTTACAAAATTTGACTTCCCACATCCACTTGGTCCTGCCACAATAGCAGTAAACGGATGTATAAAGTGAAACATTACACACGTCTAAAGTTCTAAGGGGTGAAATAAAAAATGAAAGTGTTGGTGTAAACAATACAGATTGTAATATATATTGTGTACTATAACTAATATTTTTGGGAAATCAAACAAAATTTATTATTAATTGAAAATTTTATTTTCAAGCAATAACCACTTGTAAAAAACCCACACTTCGTTACAAGAACAATGTAAAGTTTTGTGATTATTTTTTGCAAATATATGATTATTACACACATAACGTTTGTTTAAATTTATGACATTCACCAAATCATTGTATTTTGGACATTTGTATTCTTCAATATTAAAAATTCTATCATTCTTCGTCAATATTTTTAAAAATTGTTTTTCTGTTGAACTACCTTTGTATGCGATCACTTCGTCTTTGCACAAATTTCTAATATACCAATTTAATATGGGGATGATGTTCTCTTGTTTGTAGGCACATTTTAATTCTTCGGTCACATCAAAATATGGAATGCCGTGCACGTGTGTTTCACAATAACGAACAGTTTTTTTGTCTTTCGGTGACAAATAATTGAAAGGATAACTTGGCCGAAACAAATAATGATCGATAAACGCATCATTTTTATTAGATAGTTTTACGTCTAGAATAGCCTTTTCTCTACATTGAAAATATTTATATATGTAATGTAAAATCCGTCCATGTCGATGATGTATCTAATATTTTTTAGATTTTGTGTCATTTTGAACCAAAATGTTAAAAGTATTTACACGTGATTAAAAATATGTTTATTCCAACAAACTTCACATAACAATGCTTCATTACTTCCCATCATCCCATTTCTTCCTTCTGCTCTTGTCTTCCTGTAATTTAAGTAAACAGATTCACTAATGATCAACTAATGACTGTTATTGTTAAAAAAGTATTTTTTAACTACTCTAGTATTCGTAGATGCGATACACACACAATATTTGAATATAATTTGTTAAATGGCACATAACAATTTAATTGGTGCCGGCGGGGATCGAACCCGGGTACTGTGAAATTTACAGCTTGCGCTAACCATCTGAGCTACCACGGCTTAATCACATACACACACAATATTTAAATATAATTTGTTAACATTAAATCATACACACGTAAGAAAATAACAGAAAGAAAAGTAACTTTGTCAATAGAATAAACACTTACATCCATGGCCTTTGATGCGTTGAAGTAACACAAATGTAGTATTGATAGATCCACTGCGGTCAAACGACCATACACTAACTCCATGACTGCAGTTGCTTGGTCGTATATATAGTACTAGTAAGTATTAATTCTAATCTAAAGAATTTCTGCAGTAATTAACTTTATGCGTCAACAAGCTTATCTCACATTCTGTTGCTTATCTCAGCATTACTTCGTGTTGCGTCTTGTTCAGTGTATTGATGACTCAAATACGTTTTGTATAACACAAAATAATGCAATTTAATATTTAGAAATCACTATAATTGATCATTCCTATGTTAGTCATCGAGTAGATTGTACTGTAATAATCTACTAATAGCAGTAATATCATGGATACACTAGATGTACAACAACATCTGAAATAGATTCACCCCACTCTGGAAAATTGTTTATGCTGCCAATAAACTGCCCATGTACACCCACGTACCAACGTATATAATATGCAATTTGGATACAGATGATTAACCAGGGTCACATTGGGTAGCTTTATATATCGATACGAATGACGTCGGTCAATATTTTGATTCATTCGGACGAGCACCTGTACGATATCATCTAGAGTTTTTAAAAAGAAATTGTAAAAGATGGAACTGGAATGTTGATAGGATTCAGAATGAGTGGACTTCAGTTTGTGGCGAATATTGCTTAATGTATTCGCTATATAAGTTTCAGGGATGTTCAATGCATAGTTTTACGAGTATATTTACAGGGAACACATTGTACAACGATATTTTAGGGGATGAGATGTTTCGTTCCTATTTTATAGATAATAAGTAATAAGATTTTGTATTTTCTAAATAAAAATTTTAACAAAGTTAGTGTAGATAGGAACAAAGGAGTATAATACAATAGCACCACGCTGAGGAAGAATAGATAATGACGGTATTCAATGAACAATAGATAAATAGATAAGAACAATGGAGCGCTAATGACGGTGGAGGCCTTCACCGGATATCAATTAGATAAGAGTTAATTGATCTGCATATCTCCGGAACCGTGCATCCTACGCACAAATGGACCGCAGATTCGCGATCAGAGCATGCCAAAACTTTTATTCTTGTTTCTTTTTAGGATCGTGAGTTGACGAACGTCGTACTTGTACCACTTCTGACTCAGTGAGCCAGAACTGGTACAACGTAACTACTCTTACGTGTTTGTTTCGTATCAAACTTATCTTAATAATGGTTGAATGCTTGGAGACAGTTGGTAAGAAAGGAGTTTGTCTGTTATATAATAATATAGTGCGAAAGTGTGAAAACTTGTAACTTTTATAATGACTAACTGCCGATTTCCTGTTTCAGTTTCCCTCCGACGCCTCTTACGGCACCCACGAGACGAGACGAAATTATTCTAGTGGATTTTCTTAACCCCTCAACAGTATCTTTCAAAATGGCATCATTTCTATAATAATAATAATAATAATAATAATATTAGGCGTAGGGAAGTGACAACCCCATCGCCCGCTGACGTAACAGTTGTGTGACAAAACTGTGACGTCGGCGCAGTCAGTCAGCATCCTGCCAAGAATACCTCTTGCCGTCGCGAGCGCCGTGCCTAGGCAAAATTGTAGATGCAAAGGTCCGTTTGTGCATATGACCCAACCACGAAACGGTACCGGGCTTGGGCGTCTCCCGTTATTTGGCGCCCATAAAATGGATGATGACACAGAAAGGAACGCGCATAGGACCGCTGCCTGGGGGGTCGCCGGGGCGCATCTGGAGCTGGCGCTGGACGCGGCAGCATGCGGGCCACCAACCGAGCGCGAGGAGCTGCACGATCACCTAGCAGCCCCTCGCATCCATCATCCCCACCAGAAGGCTTGGTGTCGGCTGGGTCTTCTCGGACCCAGCAAGCGGCACCCGCCGCTGGTGGAGCACGTCGCATGCGTTGGACAAAATCCATGAACGAAAACGCGTTGCGGGCGTACTATAGGGCGAAAGGGGAAGAAACTGTGGGAATAGCGTATAGGTCTCGGATGTATTGCTTTTTTGCTGAGCTGGAGCCGTCTATCTCCGTCACGGAACAAAACCTGGCAGACCGAGTTCGGTACATCATGCGCTCGAAAATATTTGATGATGCCGAACTCGAACGACTACGACGTGAGGCTATTCCGTCGTCGAATGAATCGGCTATGGCTGGAGATGCAGCTCCACATTCGACAGACCAGCATCCACACGTGGAAGCCGCCATGGATCTTCCAGTTGTGGTTGATTCGAACGACGATGAAATAGTCTCCCGCGAACTAGAGCAAATGAGGAGTATATTGGAAGAGGCGATTTTGGAAACGCGCAGCACCCCTCTCGAAGACCGCGACTTCCCCGCATACCCCTAAGCAAGCGAAATCGGGCTGTCGTGAGGGCTCTTAACCCAATGCTGGTGACCTATTTGGAAGCCAGCCGGGACCTTTGCGAGACGGACTCGATTCTCTTTGGAGCCACAGTGGCAGTTTGCCGTATTATTGGCGCCAAACTTCCCATGGCTGGACGCGCTACTACACAAAGTAGCGCTATCCCAGCCTGGAGAAAAAGAATCGAGGACCGTATCGCAAAGGCAAGGGCCCTTATCGGCAGACTGACAAGCTTCAGGTCGGGTAATAATAGACCGAGGATTGTGCGCACCGTAAGGATGGCGTTTGCTGGGACAAATATCAGTTTGTCCCAGCCGGATATCACGCAGAAACTAACGGAGCGCATAGACGACCTGAAGCAAAAGATCGCTGCTTGGGGGAAGCGGATTCGACGATTTTCCGAGGGGTCAAGGCGGTTCAACCAGAATCGTCTCTTCCAGAGTGATCAGAAGAGTCTCTATAAATCATTGGAGCGACCAAAGGTATGTGGAGCGGGCCAAGGACCGGATCAGGCTGACATTATCGCATTCTGTCGTGGCCTGTGGTCAGAGCCCGTAAACCACAGCGAGGGCCCTTGGATGGAAGTTGTGGCGAGCCAAGGTGCGAGTGTTACGCCTATGGACCCCATCACCATAACGCCAGAAGACGTGGCTGAGGCGATCCGTAGGGCCCCGAACTGGAAAGGTCCGGGGCTCGACGGGCTGCATCATTACTGGCTGAAGGGGTTCATAGTGTGTCACGCTGTGCTCGCCCGACAGTTTCAAGAGGCTCTCGACCAGAAGTCACTCCCGAGCCTCTTCACTACTGGGATCACTCACTTGGTTCCTAAAGATCAGGATTTCACCCGAGCAAATACCGCCCCATCACGTGTCTACCCACCATATATGACACTGACATCCATTTTGAGCGCGAGAATCACTCGTCACCTGGAGCTAAACCAGGTGATGTCACGCGCTCAAAATGGATGTCGGAGCGGTGGTCGTGAAACTAAGGAACCACTCTTCATTGACGCGGTCATAGGCAAAGTGGTGAAACGCAACCGTCGGAACTTCTCTGCCGCCTGGATAGACTACAGAAAGGCGTTCGACTCGGTGCCCCATACATGGCTAAAGAGGGTCCTCGAGCTGTACAAGATTGACTGTACAGTTAGAGACTTCCTCAAGCAGTGTATGGGGCAGTGGAGTACGATCCTTTGTTATCTGGGCGAGCAGATGACGGCTGCGGAGAATCACATAAGGATAAGAAGGGGTATCTTCCAGGGCGATTGTCTGAGTCCAATCTGGTTCTGCCACTCCCTGAACCCTCTCAGTACCTTACTGGAGGGATCCGGGAGAGGATTTCAGCTTCGAAAAGGAGGGACAAAAGTGACCCACCTTTTCTATATGGATGACCTTAAGTTATTCGCCTCCAGTCGCTCCCATCTTATGGAATTGCTAAACATCACTTGTGAATTTAGCAATTCTATTAGAATGGAGCTGGGGACGGATAAGTGTGCGGTCCTCCATGTTGAGAGGGGAAGGGTTGCTAACTCTGAGGGCATAGATTTATCTATGCCCGTCAACTTAAGGACCCTTTCCGAGGCTGAAACATACCGATACCTGGGTATGTCACAGAACATCGGTATCGATGGTTCTGTGACATAACCAGATGAATCTGGTTCTGCCTCTCTCTTAACCCTCTCAGTACCTTACTGGAGGGCTCCGGGAGGAGATTTCAGCTACGGAAAGGAGGGACAAAAGTGACCCACCTTTTCTATATGGATGACCTCAAGTTATTCGCCTCCAGTCGCTCCCATCTTATGGAACTGCTAAACATCACTTGTGAATTTAGCAGTTCCATTGGAATGGAGCTGGGGACGGATAAGTGTGCGGTAGTCCATGTTGAAAGGGGAAGGGTTGCTAACTCTGAGGGCATAGACTTGTCTACGCCCGTCAACTTAAGGACCCTTTCCGAGGCTGAAACATACCGATACCTGGGTATGTCACAGAACATCGGTATCGATGAGGCTGGTATGAAACAGTCAGTTTGCGACGTGTTTTATGCACGCTTGACCAAAGTGCTTAACAGCCTTTTTGTCCGGTGTGAATAAGTCACACGCATATAACTGCTGGGTCATGCCTGTCCTCATGTATACCTTTGGCATACTCAGGTGGACTCAGACTGAGCTTAACGCCCTGGATAGAAAAGTCCGCACTACCATGACGTCCCATAGGATGCATCATCCGAGATCGTCGCTAATGAGGCTGTACTTGCCGCGAAAGTATGGTGAGCGTGGCTTTCTGAGCGCGCTCACCATGCATAATCGCGAAGTGTGCAGCTTGGCGAGATCGGATGATCCATTCTATAATGACGTCATTTCTAGTGATAAAGTGCTTACCCCTCTATCCTTAGCCAACGAGCAATGGCAGGACCCAGCAGTGCTTAGCATTTCCGACCGGGAGACCGTATGGAAGGAGAAGGAGCTCCACGGGAGGTACTACAAGGTTCTAAATGAGCCCTTCGTAGATACAGTCGCCTCCCTCAACTGGCTACGTTTCGGTGACCTCTTCGGGGAAACCGAGGGTTTTGTCTGTGCAATACAGGATCAGGTTATTAAGACCAACAACTATCGGAGATACATCCTAAAGGATGGCACCGTCGACGTCTGTCGAGCTTGTCGCCATCCCGGTGAGTCACTTAGGCATGTCATCTCCGGTTGTTCGGCGCTTTCTAACTCTGAGTACTTGCACAGGCACAACCTAGTAGCCAGAATTCTACACCAGGAGCTCGCTCTGAAATACGGTCTCGTGGACCGGAAATTGCCGTATTACAAGTACTTGCCGGAAGCCGTGCTCGAAAATGACCGCGCCAGGCTCTACTGGGACCGGGCCATCATCACAGACAGGACTATTCTTGCGAATAAGCCTGATATTGTGCTGATGGACCGGGCACAGTCAAGGATATTTTTGGTCGATATTACCATCCCGTATGACGAGAACCTCGTGAGAGCCGAAACTGACAAGCAATCAAAATATCTGGACCTGGCTCACGAGGTGACCGACATGTGGAGTGGTCTGCCGGCCGAAATTATTCCTGTAGTCGTCTCTGCGAATGGACTAATCCCAGTTAGCTTCTCTGGTCATCTGAGGCGACTGGGACTCCGTGACGGACCGCTCCGGGCTCAAATGCAGAAGGTGGTGCTCCTTGATACTGCCCGCATCGTCCGCCGGTTTCTTTCCCTTTCCCCCTAACCCTTGGCCGTTTGGTCTCCCCCTGCCGAGGGCTTCCATCTGGTTGGTCTTTTATTTATTTATGTATTTATTTTATTTTTTTGATATTTATGTATATTTATCTTTTCATTTTCATTTATAATTATATATTTATAGAACCCAACCAGATGAGAAAACTATATAGATATTCCATAATAATAATAATTATAATCTCTATTTTCCATATTTATCAGTTAACAATATGTTTATTCATAAACTACACACGAATATTTTATCTTATAACATGAAAAACAGCATCCACTGCCGAACTAGTCCAGATTCTGTATTTCAGCATATGGCGCCACTCCCCGGTTATAATAAAATATAATATAACATAATTAACTAACTTTATTCGTTATATTACATGTGGGTTATAAAAATGTAAATAAAAGGAAAAAAAATATGTAAAATGCGTTCGTTCCCCAAAATTTTATAAAAATGTTCGAAATTTTTCCTCCTACTTTTCCTAATAGAGCCTAATAAAGTCCACTACAGATAGGCTTACCCCATATATTACCGGGATATCTGCCACAGTTACCACGCTTGGTAAGCGTGTTGGCAATCGCAGTTTTTTATTTTTAGTCTATTAGGTGGACACTGCTGCCCATATCCTGATTTATTTCACTCTGTCGCCTATTAATCATAACAGATAACTAACATCACGATGAAAAATAACGTTTTTGTCAATATCTAATAAGTACTCGACGTGACAAAGTAAGTGATTTTTCACTGTTGTTTTATAGACCTATAACGTCGGTCATGGTTATTAAAAAATAATACTTCCCCAAGTCTAGTCATTTTTTACGACACACGGCATAATATGGATATTCGTACACTGCAGTGTATCGAGAAATTATCAATTACCGTGTAATGAGACGGGATTGATAATTTCTCAAAACATTTCACTTATCTTGTCTTGCAATCGTCATGACTAACGCTCACTTGACTTTCATACAAACAATTCGATATTACATATATACATTACGTTTGGCAATGTTACAGTCAAAATTCAAACTTGTTTTATCAAAACCATATTATTGAGTCTGCTGTCGGTGTTCAGCAGGGTGATCCATTAGGTCCAGCTCTTTTCAGTTTGGGAATTCAACCTATTATTTCAAATTTAAAATCCAAGCCGAATGTCTGGTATCTGGACGACGGTACACTTGGAGGTAAAGCAGATGACATCCTCAATGATCTTACTCATATTTTTCAAAATTTTTAAAATATTGATCTTGAACCAAATACAAATAAATGTGAAATATTTATTTCTAATAATTTATCTAATTCTAACAGAGATACCTTAATTCAAAATTTCAATCAGATTTCTCCAGGAATAAAAACTGTCAATTCAGAATCGCTTTACCTGCTTGGTGCTCCGTTGTTTTTCGATAGTATTAAACCTGTTTTAAAAACAAAATTTGATCAATTTTTAAATCACGTTGATAAATTATATATTTTAAACCCCCATATTGCCCTTACCATTTTAAAATATTGTCTTGTACCTAAATTTACATACTTGTTACGCTCAAGTCCAGTCCGGAAATGTTCGGATATTTTAAAAGATATTGATAGTAATCTTAAAATTGCTTTAGAAAACATTCTAAATTTGAGATTAAATACAATAGCCTGGAATCAAGCCACTTTACCTATCAAATTTGGTGGAATTGGTGTAAGAAATATTTCTAGCGTCGCATTGCCTGCTTTCCTTGCTTCCGTGCATAGTGTCAATGACCTATG